TAGAATTTTTGGGACACGTTGTGACTCCCGAAGGCATAAAGCCTAACCCGAAGAAAATCGAAGCAATTAGGAAATTTCCCATTCCCAGAACTGCCAAAGAGAATCAAATCTTTCTTAGGTCTCATTGGTTATTATAGAAAATTTATCAACAATTTCGCTCATTTGACAAAGCCCCTTACTCAATGCCTCAAGAAAAATGTAAAAATTCAACATACACCCGAATTCATCAAGTGTTTCGAAACTTGTAAAAATATTTTGATGAATGACCCCATATTACAGTACCCAGACTTCACAAAACCATTCAATATTACAACAGACGCTTCAAATTTTGCTATTGGCGCTGTTCTTTCACAAGGTACGATTGGTAAAGATCTCCCAATTGCATACGCAAGCAGGACCTTGAATCCAGCTGAATGCAATTACTCTACTACCCAAAAGGAATTATTAGCCATAGTTTGGGCAGTACAGTATTTCCGTCCCTATGTTTTTGGCACTAAATTCAATATAATTAGTGACCATAAACCTCTACAATGGTTGTTCTCAATCAAAGAACCCAGTTCCATGCTTGTTAGATGGCGCTTAAAATTGGAACAATACGACTATAAAATTATTTACAAGAAAGGCAGTTTTAATACTAATGCCGATGCCCTATCACGAGTAGAAATTCACCCCCTTGACCTAGTGACAGACAATCTTTCAACTTTAGGAAACTTTGACAGCTCAGAACCTTTTAACATTGACGACATTCTTAGCGACGTTTTCCCAAGTCACTCAGAGACCCTACCGACCTTACCAAATGACTTTGGAGACATTTTAGAGACTTTCGATAATCACCAATCTCCGGATGACGATAGTAATACCAATCTTCATCATCAATCATCATCCAATCCTAAACCAAAAATTAAAGTTCTCCAAAACATTCTTATCCGTCCCTCAGAAAAAGTCCGCTCAGACAGTGAGACAGTTCATAGTTCTTTTGAAAATCCGATAATAGAAATCCCATATACAGACAAAGTATTAAACATCCATCAGAACCAAGTTATTTTAGGCATATCACCCTGTAAATTATTTCAATGCCACTTTGAGAAAATTTTCAAAAAGAAAAGGCATACATTTTTAGTTAGGAAAGATTTATTAGATGTAAGCAAAATAAATGAACTAGAAGAAATTTTCGCTAAGCTAATTAAAGAGTATATCAGACCTAATCAACACTACTGCGTATATTTTAAGAATTTAGATTTAGAAAAACCATTCATTAATTTTTTACAAAAGTATTTCCAAATAAAGCATTTACAATGGTTATAAGTAGGAAAATGCTAGAAGACGTAGTCGATATTGATGAACAAAATAATAAAATTAAATTATATCATGAAACCAAAACTAGCCATAGAGGTATAAACGAAAATATTTTAGCGATTAAGAAGAATTTTTATTGGCCTAATTTAGATGTAGACGTTAGAAATTACGTAAATTCCTGCGATATATGTCAGAAATCGAAATACGAAAGGCATCCCAATAGGTTAATCTTTAAACCAACTCCCATAGGATCTAAACCATTTGAACATTTATATATAGATTCTTTTAAAATTTCAAACCAATATTTTGTAACAGTTACAGATAGTTTTTCAAAGTTTTCACAGGCATTCCCAGTTAGTTCATTAAATGCAATCGAGACAACTAGTACTATGATCCAATTCTTTTCATTTTTTGGCATTCCTCATAAAATCACATGCGATAATGGTACCGAATGGAAAAATAATATTTTCCAAGATCTTTGTAGTATGTACGACATCTCTCTTCATTATACAACAGCATATAATCCCAATAGTAATAGTCCAGTGGAGAGATTTCATTCCACTATTATAGAAACAATAAGAACCTTAAGAGAGGAAAAACCTCACCAAAATATTAGAGATCTCATGCATTATGCAATTTTATCATACAACAATAGCATTCATTCTTCAACTGACTTTACCCCTTTTCAAATTGCTAAAGGACAGCTAGATTTTAGAAATCCCTTCGAGACAACGACGAACGAACAGATTTCCACATATATGACAGAACATTCCCAAATCCTTAAACTTTTGTCTCAACAACTAACAGAAAAGTTAGAACGTAAACAAAGACAAAATTTAGAAAGAGAAAATAGACTTCGAAATCGTTCTCTTTCGCTTGATGTAAAGCAACCACTTTTTTCATTAAATAATTCCAAAACAAAGAAAGACCAACCACTTTACAAAAAACTGACCGACCCTACAGTTACTGGTGACAATAAAGTTATTTCAAAAAATAAAGTTACGCATCAAAGACAGCCAAAACGAAACCACAACGAAAAATCATTGTTACAGGTAGATGACAGGAACAAGGCTGCTACACCTACTCCTGATGATAGCTCTGACGATGACATTCCCCTTTCCCAATTATTCAGTCAAAATCACAAGATTAACAAACCCGATCCTTCCACTTCAGCTAGGTAAAGCATATATCTTAGAAAATCAGCACACATTCTTATATCATATTAATATTAGTACCCCCGTATATATTTTAGATAGCATAGGGCAACATATTTTAAGAACGCAAGTATTTTTGAAACAAAATTCCAATCACTTTTCAATTCAGCTTTTACAAAAATTGGAACATGCTATTTCATTGAAAAATAAAATCGACAATAAATTTGGCATTTTACATAACAAACGCATTAAAAGAGGTTTATTCAATGGTGTTGGTACACTTTCGAAATATTTGTTTGGAACGATGGACTCCGCAGATAAAGAAATCATTAACAATTATTTGGATACTATTAAATCTAATGAGTTGAACTTACAATCTCGCATAAACAAACAACAAACAATATTAAGGGATATTACCACTCATTATGAGATTACTTTTCAGACCATTAGGGATAACGAGAAAATTATTGTTAGTCATCTAAATGACTTGATCAACAACAATAAAATTCTAAGGGAACAAGATAATGTATTATCACTCAGCCTCACTATAGATACAATTATTTTGGAATTACAAGCTTTATATGAAATAATTAGCAATTTACAAACAGCCTTATCGTTTGCAAGAATACATATTTTACATTCTGCAATTCTAGACACAAATAGTATTTCCTCAATTTTAAATTATTTATCCAAAGATTATAGTAGCGAAAGAATTCCGAAATTTGATCACGTAATTGACTATTATTCGTTATTTACAACCGATGTAACTATTTTCGATAATATCATTTTATTTAAAATTTATGCACCATTAATCTCGAACTCCTTTCATTATTTTAGTGTTTTTCCTGTTTTTCAATTTAACTATACCCTAATCCCAAAATCCCAATACCTTCTTTTCGACTTGAAAAACCACTGGAACACAGACCACCTTTGCACAGAAGTCGCAAATAAATACTTCTGTAAACACGAAGACTTATTAGAAGCAGATCCATGCCTAGTAGAAATTATCAAAAATGGAAGAAACACTTATCCCATAACAAGAATACAGCAATCAAGAACTCTGGTACAGCAGATATCTCCATCTAAAGTAATCATATGTCCAAGAGAGCCCACTACAGTGCATTCGTCATGTCCAGAAGACGGCCCGATAGTTATTTCTCAACCAAGTCTCATAGAACTCCAGCGATGCAGCTTAGAAATCAATCAACACAAGTTCTATCCCTCAGATCGCATCGACCATGAAACAATTTTCCCTTTACCAGCTATAAGCCTGACCAATTTCACGAAGCAGAACCTTGTTGATGTAACAAAATTCAACTTGAAGACAATCCAGAATCTTCAAATATCCCAACGAAGACAGTATCCAGTTCCCAGATCGTCCCATAGAGAAGACAAATGTAATCATATTTTTACTTCTTCTATCAACTTTCATTGGTTACATCATTTACCAAATTTTAAAGAAGCTAAGAGAAGCAAGAAGACGTAGAGAAGAAGAAGCAGTTCCGGATTCGCAAACTTTGGATCCCCCGTTTGCTCATCTTCGGCAGGGAGGAGTTATATAGCGAGAGCCCCTCGTATATCTTCCTAATAGCTATAATTATATCTTATCTTAGTAAACAACCCTATGTTATATATTGATGGTTGTGCCCTTCAGGCATCAGTTTAATCCTATTACTCTTGCATTGAACTCACTTAGGTTAGGTTTGCTAACATATCGTTGTTAGTCTAAACATTATATTTATAGTAGAATAAAGTATCAAATCGCTTGTAAGTCGTTTTTAAAAACGCGATTCCGCGACGCGATACCATCATTGGCGCAGCTAGCAGTAGGATCAGAAGACTGGATCAGAACTCAGCAGAGGACTTCCAGGCTGATTTCAATCACTAACTTCTGGAACCGACGAGACCAGGAAGATCAGGAGAAGCCCAAAGACGAAGATTGACGCCAGAGTGCTGTGTCTTCAAAGTCTGAAGGTAATTCAAGTCGAATTTTCCTTGTCTCTCCTCTCACCTTTTTTTTAATTTAAGATTTTTGGTGCAGTTTTGTAAAATTTAGATTTTGCTGAAGATTGCTCAAAACATCTAGTATTAAGTTAGTTCTCGTTCAAGAGCTACATTTTTGAAGAGAACTTAATTTTGGTAAATTCGTCGAGAGCTACATTTTCGATTTAGATTAGTTACCATTTTTAAATTTTTGCCGGTTGCAAAATTATTAATTTTAAGAAAATTTTCACATTAAAATAAGGCTTAGGTAGAATCTCATTAAATTTTATTACATTCGTATTCACTTGGTATTTTCACATTTTCATACTTTTACATTTTTAATTTTTACACATTTTACATTTTTTATAGACCATAACTTTATGCAAGATTCTAATTCGGCTCTAGATACCATTACAAACTTATTAGAAAACATGTCTCTTAATAACAGTACAATCACCGTTCCAAGCATACACGCCGCAAAAGCTATTGCAGATTTTCTGCCATATTTCGATGTTTACAACTTTTTAATGTGTAGACCAGATCTCATTTCATGGGCTCTAATTAAAAATGCACTCAGAGAACATTTCGGTGACAAAATTGACAGACAGACCCTTACGAGAGAATTTCTGCAATTTTCAAAATATAGAAATGAAACCATTTTGGAATTTTTAGGAAGATTAAAATTAATTAAATCAAGAGTTGAAGTTAAAATCCAGACAGATCCTTCACTCACCCCTGATCAGAAAGTTTTACTTATCAGCCAAAATGAATTGAATGCACTAGACGTATTGACCGCAAATTGTGACGATAGACTTAGACTTCTGTTAGACATTCAACAGCCCTCCGACTTATCAGATGCGACCAACGTTGTTACTAAACATTTCTACAATGAGATGAGAATAGATGCACTGACAAAAAGACATAATTTCGGACATCCTAGCCACTTTCAATCACATTCACATAAACCTAGACGTTACAATCATAATAACTCATCACGCCAAAATTATTACCCATCTCAAAGATACAACCCTTCATACACTCAACCTAATACCACACATATTAATTATCAACAACCACCAGCCATACATGAACAATTTCCTTCTCAGGAGTTTCACGCTCAATATTCACCACATAATCATTTTACTCAGACACATCAACCTTCCTTCAATGAAAGTAGACAATTTCCATCTCAACCTATTCCATTACCAAAACCCCTTCCAATTAAACAAAACTTCCCGACAAACAGACAGGTATTCGGACCACCTCAGTCCCAACGCTCAACAAATGTTTTTCGCCCCAAAAACTCATATAAACCAGCACATAATCCAGAACCTATGGACACGTCTTCAAGACAATCAAACAGACAAAACCATAATCAGTTTAAACCTTCCGGACCCCGAAACTTCATTTCACAAGAAGTATATCATGCTGAAGAGCCTGAAGTACACTCTCATTCTTCGCAACATACTTATCAATATCCTTCTCAATATCCTTCCCAAAATTTTCCTCAGTATGACCAAGATGACCAAGATGAACCTTACAATAATCAAGAATTATATTCTGAGAATCACAATTATTATTCAAATAACTCTCAAAATCAACATTTTCGAAAAGGATCCTTCGACAGATTTAAGATAGACCTGAACAATATCAATCTAGCCAACTCTCTCCCATATATCCAACTCCGAAAAATCCCAGTAAAATTACTCATAGATACAGGTTGCCACGGTTCCCTCCTTAGACCTTACATCGCCGAAAAGTTTTTCCCAGATCAAATTTTCCATTACAATACGCCCATTTCCACTTGCGCAGGCACAAAGACCAGTCAGTTTAAAGCCTCTATCCCACTACTTGAAGAATTAGGTATTCCCGATGAATTCGAATTTATTCTTTTTCCATTTCATGAATACTTCGACGGAATCATTGGAATCCGAGATTTGAGAAAATTAGGATTAACAGTAGATCTCGAAAATCAATTACTCAGAAACCCTACTCTCCAAATCCCATTTCAATTTCGGACTGATTTTGACATCCAAAAAATAGAAATTCCCCCTAGATCAATCGTAGCAAAAGAAATCAAGACTTCTCTTCCAGAAGGTACTGAAATAATTTTAGATTCTGTTCTTTATAAGAATGGTGAAATTGAATTACCCAGTTGCATTACCAAAGTAAAAAACCAGAAAGCCACTTTAGAAATTAAAAACAACACCAATTATTCTCAAATTTTCAATTTAGATCAAAACTTCCTCCAAATATTTGGAACCATTTTCAACTCTCAAGATTACGAACTTTTTTCAATGGAAAATCACTCAATTAATCCCACCCCTGATAACTCATTACCCTTATCATTTGATCTTCTTAGAACCAACCATTTAAATTCAGAGGAAAAACAAGAACTGCGGAAAGTTGATTCTGAATTTTCCGGAATTTTCCACTCAGAAAATTCCCCCCTCACATTTACTAACAAAGTCAAACATGAAATTAGAACGATTGACGACATCCCCATCCACACTAAGTCATACAGGCATCCCTACGTTCATAAACAAGAAGTATCTAGACAAATTGAGAAAATGTTAAACGACGGTATCATTAGGCCCAGCCAAAGTCCATGGAGCTCCAATTTGGATTGTTGCAAAAAAACTAGATGCTAGCGGCAAACAAAAGTGGAGAATTGTTGTCGACTATAGGAAACTTAATGAAAAAACCGTAGATGACCGCTATCCCCTTCCAAATATCACTGACATACTTGACAAACTAGGACGATGCAACTATTTTACCACTTTAGATCTCGCCTCCGGCTTTCATCAAATTGAACTTCACCCAGACTCCATTCCCAAAACGGCTTTTAATGTCGAAAATGGACATTATGAATTTGTCAGATTACCCTTTGGATTAAAAAATGCCCCCAGTACATTCCAGAGAGTTATGGACGATGTACTCAAAGAGCTTCAAGGAAAAGTATGTCTCGTTTATATGGATGACATAATAATATTTTCCAGCAGTCTCCAGGAACACATATCTAATCTGAGAAAAGTGTTTCACAAGCTTAAAGAAGCAGGGTTAAAAATTCAATTGGACAAATGCGAATTTTTATGCAAGTCCGTAGAATTTTTGGGACACGTTGTGACTCCCGAAGGCATAAAGCCTAACCCGAAGAAAATCGAAGCAATTAGGAAATTTCCCATTCCCAGAACTGCCAAAGAGAATCAAATCTTTCTTAGGTCTCATTGGTTATTATAGAAAATTTATCAACAATTTCGCTCATTTGACAAAGCCCCTTACTCAATGCCTCAAGAAAAATGTAAAAATTCAACATACACCCGAATTCATCAAGTGTTTCGAAACTTGTAAAAATATTTTGATGAATGACCCCATATTACAGTACCCAGACTTCACAAAACCATTCAATATTACAACAGACGCTTCAAATTTTGCTATTGGCGCTGTTCTTTCACAAGGTACGATTGGTAAAGATCTCCCAATTGCATACGCAAGCAGGACCTTGAATCCAGCTGAATGCAATTACTCTACTACCCAAAAGGAATTATTAGCCATAGTTTGGGCAGTACAGTATTTCCGTCCCTATGTTTTTGGCACTAAATTCAATATAATTAGTGACCATAAACCTCTACAATGGTTGTTCTCAATCAAAGAACCCAGTTCCATGCTTGTTAGATGGCGCTTAAAATTGGAACAATACGACTATAAAATTATTTACAAGAAAGGCAGTTTTAATACTAATGCCGATGCCCTATCACGAGTAGAAATTCACCCCCTTGACCTAGTGACAGACAATCTTTCAACTTTAGGAAACTTTGACAGCTCAGAACCTTTTAACATTGACGACATTCTTAGCGACGTTTTCCCAAGTCACTCAGAGACCCTACCGACCTTACCAAATGACTTTGGAGACATTTTAGAGACTTTCGATAATCACCAATCTCCGGATGACGATAGTAATACCAATCTTCATCATCAATCATCATCCAATCCTAAACCAAAAATTAAAGTTCTCCAAAACATTCTTATCCGTCCCTCAGAAAAAGTCCGCTCAGACAGTGAGACAGTTCATAGTTCTTTTGAAAATCCGATAATAGAAATCCCATATACAGACAAAGTATTAAACATCCATCAGAACCAAGTTATTTTAGGCATATCACCCTGTAAATTATTTCAATGCCACTTTGAGAAAATTTTCAAAAAGAAAAGGCATACATTTTTAGTTAGGAAAGATTTATTAGATGTAAGCAAAATAAATGAACTAGAAGAAATTTTCGCTAAGCTAATTAAAGAGTATATCAGACCTAATCAACACTACTGCGTATATTTTAAGAATTTAGATTTAGAAAAACCATTCATTAATTTTTTACAAAAGTATTTCCAAATAAAGCATTTACAATGGTTATAAGTAGGAAAATGCTAGAAGACGTAGTCGATATTGATGAACAAAATAATAAAATTAAATTATATCATGAAACCAAAACTAGCCATAGAGGTATAAACGAAAATATTTTAGCGATTAAGAAGAATTTTTATTGGCCTAATTTAGATGTAGACGTTAGAAATTACGTAAATTCCTGCGATATATGTCAGAAATCGAAATACGAAAGGCATCCCAATAGGTTAATCTTTAAACCAACTCCCATAGGATCTAAACCATTTGAACATTTATATATAGATTCTTTTAAAATTTCAAACCAATATTTTGTAACAGTTACAGATAGTTTTTCAAAGTTTTCACAGGCATTCCCAGTTAGTTCATTAAATGCAATCGAGACAACTAGTACTATGATCCAATTCTTTTCATTTTTTGGCATTCCTCATAAAATCACATGCGATAATGGTACCGAATGGAAAAATAATATTTTCCAAGATCTTTGTAGTATGTACGACATCTCTCTTCATTATACAACAGCATATAATCCCAATAGTAATAGTCCAGTGGAGAGATTTCATTCCACTATTATAGAAACAATAAGAACCTTAAGAGAGGAAAAACCTCACCAAAATATTAGAGATCTCATGCATTATGCAATTTTATCATACAACAATAGCATTCATTCTTCAACTGACTTTACCCCTTTTCAAATTGCTAAAGGACAGCTAGATTTTAGAAATCCCTTCGAGACAACGACGAACGAACAGATTTCCACATATATGACAGAACATTCCCAAATCCTTAAACTTTTGTCTCAACAACTAACAGAAAAGTTAGAACGTAAACAAAGACAAAATTTAGAAAGAGAAAATAGACTTCGAAATCGTTCTCTTTCGCTTGATGTAAAGCAACCACTTTTTTCATTAAATAATTCCAAAACAAAGAAAGACCAACCACTTTACAAAAAACTGACCGACCCTACAGTTACTGGTGACAATAAAGTTATTTCAAAAAATAAAGTTACGCATCAAAGACAGCCAAAACGAAACCACAACGAAAAATCATTGTTACAGGTAGATGACAGGAACAAGGCTGCTACACCTACTCCTGATGATAGCTCTGACGATGACATTCCCCTTTCCCAATTATTCAGTCAAAATCACAAGATTAACAAACCCGATCCTTCCACTTCAGCTAGGTAAAGCATATATCTTAGAAAATCAGCACACATTCTTATATCATATTAATATTAGTACCCCCGTATATATTTTAGATAGCATAGGGCAACATATTTTAAGAACGCAAGTATTTTTGAAACAAAATTCCAATCACTTTTCAATTCAGCTTTTACAAAAATTGGAACATGCTATTTCATTGAAAAATAAAATCGACAATAAATTTGGCATTTTACATAACAAACGCATTAAAAGAGGTTTATTCAATGGTGTTGGTACACTTTCGAAATATTTGTTTGGAACGATGGACTCCGCAGATAAAGAAATCATTAACAATTATTTGGATACTATTAAATCTAATGAGTTGAACTTACAATCTCGCATAAACAAACAACAAACAATATTAAGGGATATTACCACTCATTATGAGATTACTTTTCAGACCATTAGGGATAACGAGAAAATTATTGTTAGTCATCTAAATGACTTGATCAACAACAATAAAATTCTAAGGGAACAAGATAATGTATTATCACTCAGCCTCACTATAGATACAATTATTTTGGAATTACAAGCTTTATATGAAATAATTAGCAATTTACAAACAGCCTTATCGTTTGCAAGAATACATATTTTACATTCTGCAATTCTAGACACAAATAGTATTTCCTCAATTTTAAATTATTTATCCAAAGATTATAGTAGCGAAAGAATTCCGAAATTTGATCACGTAATTGACTATTATTCGTTATTTACAACCGATGTAACTATTTTCGATAATATCATTTTATTTAAAATTTATGCACCATTAATCTCGAACTCCTTTCATTATTTTAGTGTTTTTCCTGTTTTTCAATTTAACTATACCCTAATCCCAAAATCCCAATACCTTCTTTTCGACTTGAAAAACCACTGGAACACAGACCACCTTTGCACAGAAGTCGCAAATAAATACTTCTGTAAACACGAAGACTTATTAGAAGCAGATCCATGCCTAGTAGAAATTATCAAAAATGGAAGAAACACTTATCCCATAACAAGAATACAGCAATCAAGAACTCTGGTACAGCAGATATCTCCATCTAAAGTAATCATATGTCCAAGAGAGCCCACTACAGTGCATTCGTCATGTCCAGAAGACGGCCCGATAGTTATTTCTCAACCAAGTCTCATAGAACTCCAGCGATGCAGCTTAGAAATCAATCAACACAAGTTCTATCCCTCAGATCGCATCGACCATGAAACAATTTTCCCTTTACCAGCTATAAGCCTGACCAATTTCACGAAGCAGAACCTTGTTGATGTAACAAAATTCAACTTGAAGACAATCCAGAATCTTCAAATATCCCAACGAAGACAGTATCCAGTTCCCAGATCGTCCCATAGAGAAGACAAATGTAATCATATTTTTACTTCTTCTATCAACTTTCATTGGTTACATCATTTACCAAATTTTAAAGAAGCTAAGAGAAGCAAGAAGACGTAGAGAAGAAGAAGCAGTTCCGGATTCGCAAACTTTGGATCCCCCGTTTGCTCATCTTCGGCAGGGAGGAGTTATATAGCGAGAGCCCCTCGTATATCTTCCTAATAGCTATAATTATATCTTATCTTAGTAAACAACCCTATGTTATATATTGATGGTTGTGCCCTTCAGGCATCAGTTTAATCCTATTACTCTTGCATTGAACTCACTTAGGTTAGGTTTGCTAACATATCGTTGTTAGTCTAAACATTACGTATATATTTATAGTAGAATAAAGTATCAAATCGCTTGTAAGTCGTTTTTAAAAACGCGATTCCGCGACGCGATACCATCATTTTGCAAGTCTGAAACTTGGGCACTGTGCAACGGAAACTCATTCAACGGAAACTCATTGTAAACTTCAGCAGGTCTACAGAGATGGCGTTTTGTCAAGAGCCCAGGTTTTTCGGTGGTTTACGGCATATTCAGAAGCGAGTTGACTGAAGATGAACCACGAAGCGGAAGGCCTTCTTCTTCTATAACCTAGGATGATCGAGTTAATTGTGAGTTTTTGGCCAGTAAAAACGTTCCTGTGGCTCATCAACCTCTGTAATTGCCTACCTTGAGTCCTTTGTGACTTTTTTCCCTTTCCAAAGTCTAAAAATCACCTAAAGAGAACCCATGTTGAGCAGTATAAAACACTCAAACGGCTGTTACCGACCAGCTGAAGGCTATTCTAGTATCGAAGTTCCAGTACTGCTATGAGGAGTGGAAGAATCGTCTCCGGCGTTGTTTGGCTTCAGAAGAAAGTTATTTTGAGGCTGACAGTATAACGTTGTAATTATGTTTGAATAAAAAAAATCAAAAAAAACAAGTCTCAGCAGCTATGAGGAGCTTAAAGACACTTTGTTGATCAAAGATTTTAACAGCCTCAGGTCAATAGAACTGGGAAAAGTCTCAGCATGCAGATTGTTACCCTACCTCGATACCGTATTGTCAAAGGAGAGGTGGAATCGGCTAGTTCTGGATGTACGAAGTTCGACACAGTTAGGATAGGAGGTCGAAGTTAGACGGGTCTGCAAATCAGCAGCAAAGCCGTGGATCAAGTTAATTGTGCTAGGGAACACCCCCGTTGACGTTCTGGGTCGAAGAGGAGAACTATTCAATCGCGGCAGATATCTTGCCGCCAGAGGGTCAGCCACCCATCTGCAAAGCTTCTCTGGGGGACATGGGATGGAGGTTTGCGTATGAGGGCAGCATGCCTCAGCTAATAAAAATCATTGGTGATATCAAGAGCAAGGACAAGAGCCGCACCATAAGACTGGATAAGTTTACTCCACAGTTGCGTGACCTAAGCTAGGAACTCCCGTGTGAATAGCTGATGCCTGTCGCTGGCCAAGCAGTGACGTTCAAGGTACTCTTTTAGCTCCCTATTTATGCACCTCTCCATCACCTAACTTATAACGAAGAAAGAAGAGGCATAGGCTATATAGTTGTAAGAGTCGGCCTTGGATCCTAAGGTTTCTTGAGAAAAATAGACCTAAAAAACACAACACACGTGCTTCTATTGCACGATCTTTTTGTTAAGACTACTATTGGAATGTGTCACAGTGACAGTGTCGACAATTCTACCAAACTCAGCGTACCCGATTTTTGATAGGTTATAGACGTTTCGGTATAGTAAGCAAATAGTTTGGTTGAAATCTTTTCTTTCTAAGTCTAATTTTATCGGACCAACGTTCTCTCGCGAATATTAAAAATTTCAATACGGCGACACTGCAGAGCGTTGACGGCGCGACACCTTCCAATGTTTTCGCATTGCCGATGCCGAGGAAGCTTCTTTTAATATTCAGCAGGAGTTTGTCGATGGATAAACACCATTATTTGAATGGTGACGTTGAATTTTCCATTTTTCCAAGACTTAGAGGTTGTCAAATTCCTTGATATATGCCGCTACGGCCTCTTTCGCAATTTGCAACGTTTCCAATATTTATTATTCAAGTCTGCGGGGAACGTGCTGCTGGTGACGTAGAATTGCGAACATTTATGGAGAAAAAATTAGGCTAGCGAGAACTGGCTTTGTGATTTTAAGCTGCATCGGATTCTGTTTCTGATAATAGATGGATGGTATTGTAAACTGTCGGTATTTGACTACGGAGTAAAACTTATCTGCATCTAAATGAAGCATAATTTATTGGATGTCCTGAATGTTGGCGTTTTCTCTCTCATTAATAATTATAATAATTTATTCACAATAATATACAACATGGTGAATAAACGAAATCTTTCTGCGTGGAAAAAATGCATAAGTACATTAAGTAAAGGTAAATGTTAATTATCAAAATAAATAACCATGATATGTAATACAGCGTATCCAGCGTTGTGCATTATGGATTTTAATTCCTTTATTAGAATGCATATGATTTTACTTAAAATAGCTGAATATACATATGTTAATATGTTGCAATTTGGAATTTACCTCAACTAACCTTTCAGTTCTTTTTGAATTCAATGTTATGTTTTTATATTTTTTGCTGATATGTTATCATATAACAGTGAAG